GGGAATCAGACAGTTATCTGACTGATCTTTTTGATGCCAAACACTTAGATCACGGTTCACTGAACAACTTTTAACGTTTCTATCCAGATGTTTGACATCAGGCACAACTCATCACCAAACAAGTCAAAAAGTGCAGATGATCATTTGTCATTTAATTGTAAGCTGAAATTCACTGTGAAGCGTCTCTGCCAGCTGACCTCAGGCAGCATGGAGTTTTTTTGGTATAGCATCTTTGTGTACCAGAAATACATTTCCGGAGAGAAGCACTTGCAGGAAGATCCAAGCATCAGTGACTGTACTGGCAAGTTGTACCTGTTTTTTACGTCACATCAAGCAGGAATCTGTGCTGTTCCGTGAGGGGCCACCTCCTGGGAACCCTTTTACCTGAGTTTCTTATACTTTATAAAGTTGTGAGCTTCTTGTGGATAATTCTCAGATTTTGCCTCAGCAGTCCGGTGTGAACAGTGTAGATTCTCACTCTGAATGATGAACCCTGTTGGTTTTGCAGATTGCTAGGGCTATTTTTAAGAACTCCTTTTCTCTAAATCAGGCAAAAACAGGGAAAACAGGTGGGTCTCCTTGTTCCTTACTCATCCACCCCTTCCCAGGGAATGGGCTCAGGGAAGACCAGACCTGCCTTCTGACCCTACACATCCATGTCTGCCCTGCATTTGACTTGACAACCAAGCTAAGCAGACCAGAAATAGACTTGCTGTCTCCAGCAGTATTGGTTGAGAGTTATTTTCTATAGGATGGAATAATAGGGACCTGCCTATTACTAAAGGAATATCATCGTCCCTGTGCTGGAAAGAAGGGATAATACCCAATTTGGGGGACTTCGGGCTTGATTACTTAAATGGAAACTTCTATTCCACTTTGCTTTGATGTTCTGTTTGTGATTCTGATTCCCTTCCTGTGTTTTATGAGCAAATCTAGTAGCTGGTTAAAAAGTTCACTTTCTGAGCTCCTTGTCCTGTGATTTCTTTCTTTCATACATACATTTTTAACTTCTATGAATGGGGAGGTTTGAGGTAAAATAAGATCTGATTAAGGCAAACTTGAAATGTGCAGCCCAAAAAAGGTTGTTGTCAAATAAGATCCAATAGGGTAGGGAGCAGCAATCTGCAGCACGTGTCTCAATCCCAGCATGCACACTTTTTTTCTTTGTAAATAGAATTTTGTAGAAATACTGTCATACCTGTTATTGCATGTAGCTTCTTTCACCCTCTAATGCCAGAGCTGAATAGTCGAAATAGTGACGATGTGATGTGCACTGCCTACTGTCAGATTCCCAATAGAAAATGTTTGCCAACCTCTGCACTTGGAGGATATTTTTATTTGGCCATCTCCAGGAACCTATATAGAAAACATATATAGGCTTCAAAAAATCCAAGGGTTATTATTCTGAAATAGGAACTATGGGCCAAATAGCTAAGTAGTAGAACATTTGTTGCTATGCATCGTGAGGATCTTGCACATAGTAGGTACTTGTGGTGTGAATGATTATATATTTCTAGATGAATGACTTATGGTGTGGGTTCCATTTACCTACTTATAAAAATCAAAGTATTTTATTTAATCACTAAGGATTAAATAAAATTCTTTGCACGATCATTCTACATAATATTAGAAAGACAGGTGTTAAGGCAAACATAAACACCTTTGATTCTCTGCATCTCAGTGCGCCAACGTGACAGCCACAGTCTCTTGAATTCCCATCAGTCAAATTCATTTAGCCTCAGCTGGAATGATTAGGCAGGTACAAAAAGCATGACCATCTGCTGTCACAGTGTTATCAAGAATCTTACCTGAAGAGAAACAAGGGGATTTAAGAGTTGAGAGCATCAAAATTATGCTTGGTGCTTGTTCTGATTTGGCTTATGGAGATGGGGTTGAAGAACATATTGTTTATTACTTGTGTTCAGCAGCATTTGAGATTTCCTCATGTGTGGGTGCAATCTTGGGAATGTTCCAGATGTGCAGGGATAGGGTTAACAGCACCTGCGATGACCTGCTATGAGTGCCTTCACTCACGTACCAAATTATAGGTGGAAATCACACTTCCACTAGTTTCCAGAATTACTCTTTAGGGAGTTGGAGAGCTATGGATTAATTACTTGGTGGGGCAGAGACGATGGCAATCACCTACCTCTTATTGTCCTCCTTCCATGATCTTGAAAGAAATGTTCAAGCTCTGTGATGTGATTAGGGTAGTTGACTCCCAATTCAAAGCATATACTATGCCACCCTTTAGGAACTGAGTTCCCACTGCCCCCCTTTCCTGAGAAGACAGCAGGGTTTCTGTCAGCTCCGCTTCACAGATTTGACCATGCGGTTATCATTTATTAATTCAGACATTTTGGAGGGAGGCACGCTGGCTCTGCTGAGATGGAAGCAGAGCCCCACCCTCACCCACCACATCAGAATCTGAGGCTGCACCCAGAGATTTCCTTTCAGACACTCCAGCTTCCGGAGTGCTGGGGTCCAGATGGAGCAGCCCTGCCTGCCTCCCATCTGTGGTAAGTGACTTCTCTATGGCAGGATGGGATGGCTGAGAGCAGGCAGGCAGTGAGCAGCCTGGGGTTGAGGAGGGGGAAACCTCCTTCACAAGTTCTTGATTCCCATGTGTAGGACACAGGTCACAGTTTTTCCCATTTGGGAAGTGAAGGGTAAGAGGGACAGGATGGCACTGACACTGGCATGACGCAGTTTGTGTCACGTTCTGACTCTTGTATCTTTGAGTTCCAATTTGGAATTGGTTTGACTTTAATTTTGAGAGCCATGATGGTGGAGAGAATGTGTTTAACCAAGTGTCACATGTTTAAATGGCCTTTCCCAGCAGACACAGGCTGTAGGGCTAGTGGGCACAGACAGATTGACACAGGATTGTTGCATGAATAGATTTTGCCTGGTCCTCTTGGCTGAGCGGAAGCCTTTGTTCCTTTTTAGACATTTTGTTTCTGACAATTCTAATTCTTATCAGCACTTTTGAGAACTATTATTAAAAAAAAAAAGCAGAGGGATTGCTTTTTGATCTGTGAATCGGAACCATAAATTTGGTTAATATTACATTTCAGTAAAGTGGCATCATTGGGTCAAGGGAGAGCATTATGGCAAATTTTCCTGAATGCTGAGTTTTTAAACAGTGACTTTATTATTCTGTTTTTAAAAGTAAATGGACAAATTATAAGCACATGATTGTAATCCTTTCTTATTCCTGTGTATGTATATCTTTATATGTCTCAATAGTGTATATCTTCATTCATCAAATTAATTTTTGAGGTGCATTTTGTCACAGATTGATGCTCTACTGTACTCACTAACTTGAATCAAATTTGTTTAAATTTTCATCTAAAACAATAGCTATATGACTATTTTCTTACTCGCCAACATAGGGTTAGATTTCAGGTGCAATCAAGGTCAAGTCTTAAGAGTAGAAGTTTTTTTTTTTTTTTTCTTAAATAAGAGATGAGACTGTTTTTGCAGTTTGGAAGTGAAGATGCTAGTATTTGGTCTCAGAAAATTGGAGATAATTTAAAACTAACATGCTTTCTTGCTTGTTTTATTTGTAAATATTGGTCCTGGCTTTGAGAACTTCAGAGCTTTTCCTATTTTTGTTTGTTTGTTTCACAACTCCTTAGGAAGGTGCAAATGGAAAGGTAATAAAGGAAAATCTTTTCAAGATAAAACATGATTCATAAAGGTGACAGCCATGCCATATGTGAAGAGTGATTAACAGCTGCAGAGTCTGCAAACAGCTTTTTAAAACTTTCTTGGTAAAGCAGAGTTTCCCATTATTTCTCATTTTGGTGGTTTCTCAAGTGCATCACCCTGATTTTTCTAAGCTTCATTTTATTCTGTAGCAATCAGATCACTCTTCACGTCCCAGCAGAGCTGTATTGGGGCTTGCTTAAGTATTTCACATATATCCCTGGTTATTCTTTCAGTGATATTTTCAATTTCATGACAATGATGTGGTATATTAAAACCATAATCTCCTCTAACGCTGCTCATTTTATTTCTGTGGCATGAGTTTGGATAGGCAGATGTGAGAGCATTTCCAAGGCCTGCCTGTTTGGAACTGGTTTGCTTTAATTTAGAGAGCTGTGATGGTGGTGGAAATGTGCTTAATGAAGTGTTACAAGTTTAAATGGCCTTTCCTAGCAGACACAGGCTGTAGAGCTGGTGGACACAGACAGAGACATAAAGTTAAAAGGGCTAGGGGAAGAAAGTCCCTACTTCAAAATTCAGTTGTAATTCTAGCAAAATAGGTTAATTCTAGAAAATACATTTTCATGAAACTCAGTTGTCTTTGGTAAATTAACCAGTCACTCTTTTCCTGATTAGCAATCTTCTGACAACATGCTTTGCTTCTCCTCAGGGGTACAGGTTAGCAGTTTTAAAATATTGTTCGTGCCACAGTTCCCTTGGAGAATCTCTGGACTCTCTCACCTGAAAATCAAACCCACATAATTGTGTGCATCTGATTTTGGGGGTTTTTGGACATCCCTAAAGCATAAACCTTCTTTTTCCATCAAGGACCCTTTCTTCATCTCATCAATAGACATCTTCTATGTGGCAAACTTCTTTTTAAAAAAATATATCCATTAACACTTGCACACTGTGGCATTTCTGTTAGAGAGAAAAGGGAGAAAACGGGGAAGTTTTGGGTAGGCTCTTTTTTTAAGATTACCACAAAGAGTTGTGCATTTGCCAAGATTTGGGCATCCAACCTTCCTGTGTTGTCTAGGGCACACTCTGAGTTGAGCATCTGGGTCTTCAGGGGTGTATGGAGGAGGAGTGATAGCAGCGCCTCAGGGAGTTGGCAGTGAGGGAGGCATGGCTGTGTGCCAATGAGTATCCTTAAAGGTTCTCCCCTGCCCCTGCCCCGTGGAACCTCTGAGCCCTGATTCTCTGATGGGCTGCCCAGGAAGCTAGTGGGCTGAGCATGTCATGTGATAACTTGGCACTAATAAGAGGAGAAGGCCTCCCACTGTTACTCCTGGTGGAGGGCCAGTGGCACCCCAGGCTTTTACCCAAATGTCCTTGAATTCTACACCCTGAGCCTTGAAATGCAGCTTTTCTGGGGCTGAGTTCCCAGGATTGGTGGTGCTGTACTTGCAGGAGATGGTGGTTGCTGGCCAGTAAAGCACCACATCAGCCGTGAATGTGGTTCACACACAGCTTTATGCAGGTGCATCAACGAGCCTGGAACTAGGTGCTGGGTGCCGTCTAAGACACCAAGAGCCATTTTGGAAACAGAAAGGGAACAATCATATAAAAATGGAAGATCCAGAAATACAAGGGTAAGACTTGTCCTTTATTCCTTCTTTTCCTCTTTTTTTCCATTCTCCCTACTCTTCTTTTCATTCCTCCTTCTACTCCTTTATCTTTCCTTCTGTTTTCCTTTCCATCCTGCCTTTCTTCTATTGTTCTCTCCTCCTTCTCTCTCCCCTTCTCCCATATTCTCTCACTCTCCCCTTCTTTTTTCCACTTTCTTCTCTTTTATCATTTCCTTTAGTCTTTTCATCTTTTGTATCCATCTGCTCTTTCGTTACTGCCATTCTTCAATTCAACAGACATTCTCAGTTGTTTACCGGCTACTGTTTCTTATTAGTTTGCATGGAATTTTGATTCCCTTTCTTTCACAATGAAGGTCTACCTTCATGCTACTAAGGGATATTTTTGTCCTGCATTACCTTTCCCCAGCTCCTTCTTTCTTCCTTGCTTGTGTTCCTTAATCATGTAATCGGCTGACATACATTGACCACCCACCGCATGCAATTTACTGCCTTAGAGAAAAAAATCCAAAGTAATGATGGACTTTACCCTCAGGAAGGTTAAAATTAAATTTAGGAATTGAGGTACACATACGTGAAAAGGCAATAATAGGGTAACAGTTACATGTTTCACAAAACAGGAATGAGAGATGGTGCAAGACAGTGTGAACATTACTGCTAGATGAGCGCAAGGAGAAGATTTTGAGTTCTGAGAATGAACCAATTTGTGAAATGGGTGGGTTTGAGAAGTCTTTTAGAGAAGGAATGTGAACTAGGTTTCCGAATAGGATTTTAATATTCAGAGAGGAGAGAAAATTTCAGTCCAGGAATGGATGTAAGTAAAAGTGCAGTGGTCTTTATTTTTGTTACCTCAGCTTTCCAAGGTAAAGTTCCAGGGGAACCTGTTTGCTCTGACTTCTTCTCCACTCCTGGACACTGCCATCTCCGCTTCAGTTTCCCCTGAATGCCATTTCTCTTCAGCTGGTGATGAGCTCAGGGGAATCATCTAGTTTATCTCAGACTCATTCTTGATCAGTAGATTGGTCACTTTATACTGCAGGCAAAAACCTGCTGGCAGTGGAAAGCTAAGTTGAAGAGAGAATGTTGAGATATACAACCAGGAGTCAAGAATTTTGTTTTGAATTCCTAGATTAAGTGGTCTAATATGATCAAGTTCAATCCAGGGTATACATGGCATGCTAGTGAATTTTTGCTTTCTTTGTAGTGCACAACTCAGGGTTGAAAGAATCTTAGAACTTATCTTGCCTTTTACATGGTCCAATTATATAGGTCTGGACAAGTCTCCCGTTTTCTTATTCATTGATATGTACACTTAACCTGTGTTCTTGGAGGTTTTCTTAGTAAATGTGTGGTTATAAGCTGAAACCAATTCAAATCATATTGTTTCAATATCCCCAATCCATGGAGAAATATCTTATTTTCGGGTGCCTGAGAAGCCCCAATTGTAGGCTTATGTCTGAGTCTTTTGTGGAAATGACTTGCATAAAATCCAGCTGAGATGCTGTGTTGTCAACCTAGCTGTAGAATTTGAAGATGCTGTTTATTCCCTCTGAGGCTGGCATTTCTCTGTGATGGTTCCATTTGATCCCTTCAATGGCTTAGCCTACTCAGCAGCAATGCTTGGGAGATATAGGTTGTTGAGGTCCCCTCTGCTTGTGGCCTTTGGATTTTTGCCCTTAAGTAAAGAAAACAATCCTTTAATCAAGTATTTGCCAGTGGCTTAAGATACACATTTCTTAATTGGTTGAAGTTTACATTCTGACATTGTATTGTATACAATATATGCATTGGGGTGGGTATGTGTGAGTGTGTATGTCTAAGGGATTAGAAGAAAGGACTCCTTTTCCTTCTAAGGACAGCAGTTGATTCCTAGAATCTATCAGAGCTTTCCTTCCCTTCTTTTATCATGTGAAACTCGGTTGAAAGGGTTACCTTCTAGCAGAAATGAAGGGCAAAGTTATGCCTGCTGGTAAATATAAGCCTCGCTGTAAATATTCCTTGAATTCCAGAAAATTTTAATATTATTTTATTTAACTCCCTATGTTATAAAAAAGAAAAACCTAAGCCCAGAGATGTGCAATAATTAGAGCCAAATTATCTTTGCAGCAGATTAAAGATAAACCAGGATCAGAGTGTGGCTTTTTTGACTCTCTGAAATAATTAGATGTAGAGAATCTTTGCATCCTATTATTATAAAAATATGTTAGGCAAAGAATGCAATGATAAATAAATTATATATTTGAGCAGCAGAATAAATCAAGCTGTTTTTTTCTATATTTCATTGGAAGTGATTTAACAGATGTTAAAAAAGTTTTAAAAATAAGGGATAAAATTATTTTTAAGAATACAGAGAAATTTTACAAAAATAATAGGATCCATTTAAAATATTCTTGGTCAAACAAAAGTCAGATTTTTTCCGCACGACTTTCTCCTAGCATGATATAATGATTTTGGAGGTATATAATACTAAAATAATTAAAAGCTGTCCAATTGCTCACAAACATTATATAATTATGTTTCTGAATGACAGAAGCACAATTAAAAGACAATAGAAATTAAACAGACAATAGAAATATAGCCCTCCTTATATACACCATGGAACTTATATACACCAGTCTAAAACTCTAATTAGACTACATTTTCTCCTCCCAAATGTCAATGTTAGAAAAGAACAAAGAGAGAGGTGAAAATACTGTATAGAATTTAGGACATTTTAACAACAAAAGAAAGAAAAAGGAAAAGGAAATGGAAATAATCTGGATACTGAGGAGGGAAAAATCAAGTGGTCTAATGAACAAAGTCATAATTTCTAGCCAAGCTTGGTAGTGCCTCTTTCCTCCCTCCTTCTTCTCTGGTGACCCTATCCCTTACCTCAGTCACCAGGAAAGTAAGGGTGCTTGTTCCCTGCCTTTCTCAGAAGCAGGATCTTGAAGAGATGAAAAAATGATGAGTGAGGGTGGGAGGAGCACTGGGGAGGAGGAGGCTGGCCCAGGGGCCATTTGTTCTACCCTTGTCCCCTCAGGGAAGGCTCTGAGAGGATGCTCTATTCCCAGCTGTAGGCATATTCCCAGGGCCTTCCAGCCTGCAGCTATTGAAGGAGGGGCTTTTTTTTTTAACAGAGCTGCAGACATCTCTTCCTGCAGCTCTTCACTGGCAGCTGCCACTCTTAGAGCTCAGCTCCCTTTAGGAGCCCTCAAAGTATAACTTTCTCTACCTCAGGGGAGAGTGAGCAGGAGTTTACTCACAATTATGCACAATTTGGCTGAGCTTTCAACTCAGATCTTATTATTTTGTTTTATTTCCTTTCCTCTCAGAGTCACTACTGACATCAATCTCAAATACTTCCTGATTACCTGTATTGGTTGCATTATTGTAAGCAGCATTATATAGAAGTTAAGATCACAAGCTCTGGGGCTGGGATGCCTGGATTCAAATCTGGGATCCACCACCTCTAGCTGCATGACCTTGAACAAGTTATACAACCTCTTTATGCCCCAGTGCCACTATCTGTCAATATGGAATAATAATAATACTAGCTCCCAACTCATCGGTTGTTGTGAGGTTATTAAATGAGGAACGACTTTTTGAATAGTTCCTGGCATTGAATAATTGTTGCCAAGATGTTAGCAATTATATTATTTTAACCTCTAGGTACACTTGGAAAGGTGTAATAATACGAAGAAGTATACAATACCAACTTTACTTTGGAGGAATTATGGCCTAATCTGGGAAACTGAACTTTTTTTTTTTTTTTTTTTTTTGAGACGGAGTTTCGCTCTTGTTACCCAGGCTGGAGTGCAATGGCGCGATCTCGGCTCACCGCAACCTCCGCCTCCTGGGTTCAGGCAATTCTCCTGCCTCAGCCTCCTGAGTAGCTGGGATTACAGGCACGCGCCACCATGCCCAGCTAATTTTTTGCATTTTTAGTAGAGACGGGGTTTCACCAAATTGACCAGGATGGTCTTTATCTCTTGACCTCGTGATCCACCCGCCTCGGCCTCCCAAAGTGCTGGGATTATAGGCTTGAGCCACCGCGCCTGGCCGAAACTGAACATTTTTTAATTATGAAGAAAAAAGCTGACTTTGGGCTCTGATAATTAGCAAATAAAGAGTTGTGATGGCTGAGGTTATATTATCATGCCTTACTGCTGCTGTCTGTTGGTCAGGAATGGAGCAGAGGCTTCCTGTTTCCCAATAAAGGGTAAAGCAAGTAGTCAGTGTAATGTCTTCCAGACCCTAGCCCTCTGAGAAATCCTCCTTGTGTTTTATTCATTCCTAAAAACAACAACAAAACACAAAACAAAACTTCTGGCTATTCAAGTATAATTCAATGGAATTGCCTAAATAAATGCAAGATACATGATTACAAAAAAATTTTTTTTTGAGATGCAATCTTGCTCTTTCTCCCAGCCTGGAGTACAATGATGTGATTGATCTCAGTTCACTGCAGTCTCTGCCTCTGGGGTTCAAGTAATTCTCCTGCCTCAGCCTCCTGAGTAGCAGGAATGACAGGCATCTACGACCATGCCTGGCTAATTTTTGTATTTTTAGTAGAGACGGGGTTTCACCATGTTTTCCAGGTTGCTTGTCTGCAGTTGATCCACCTGCTTCAGCCTCCCAAAGTGCTGGAATTACAGGCATGAGCCACCATGCCCAGCCAAGATACATGAAATCTTAAATATGCTTCTGTTATTAGGACCTTCTCTTTGGTGGTTGTATCCCAGAAAAATGTAAAGGAGACCACCCTGACTAGCAGACTCTTATATCTGTTTATTAACGTCATAGTACTCAGATGCCGTGTCCTGGATGTACCTTAGAATGAAGCATCCATACTCCAGGTAAGTCATTTTCTTATGCATAACATCAATCTTCTCAGTTTAATTTTCTTATTAACTTGATGATGTCAAGGGAAGAATCAGAGGAAGGACTTCCCACCACTGCTATCTTACCTTCTAATTTCTGTTTGCTCAGGAGCCTCTTGGTGGCTTTCTCAGCTTGTGTCTGTA